TCACATATTTGACTGTTTCAATTAAGGTTTTAATTATACTCTTTTCAGGTTATTATATTCATTATATAACTTGTAACTGTTGAGTTTAGTTAAAATTATCCTTACATAATATAATGCTAGAAAACATTGGAGCCTAACTTTGTTGGAGGCCAAGCTGCTTGTTACTATCACTTTCTGACAGCACTACAGATTTGTTTACAAATGTGAGGATATGCTGTAGTTTAAGGTTACAAAGTCAAACCCATCCTCTTTAAACAATCGAAGTGACCAATGTTTTCCTTTCCATAACTCAAAGAGGTCAAGGTGAAGGTCAGGGTCGTGTTGAAGGACTTTGAAAACAAAAGGACGCCCAGAGTTGGGGGATTTTTTGCCTCCCAGCTGTTTCCAGGATTTACCTCACTCCCCTGCTTCTATGCTGTGGTGTCTGCACAAGAGAAAGGGTTTTACCCCATGATGTCTTTACCAGCCTGGGCAGCCATGGGACCGTGAGGGAGGCCAAGCAGATCGGATATGCAATCAGAAGTCACAGTAAAAAGGGGACATTAGCAGCAACGGACAAAAGAGGTCACAGTCCTGCAACCCTAGGTGAGGAAGGAGGTCGTAATCATTAAGCTCAGTTCCCTTTCCTGCATTGGGAGAACGAGGAGGGCGACAGCAGCAGCAGGATCGGCTGATCCACATCAACTAATTGCTTCAAAACCATTACCATTGTATCACTTACCACTGAATGCTTATTTCCAAACAATTTAGAATTGATCTTAAAATTCTTCAAATTACATATAAAGCATTTGTAATGGAAATTTATGTTGAAACTACTCTGCTTATGCCTACAGCAGAAATCCATATAGAGTGCAGCTTGATGTGAACTGTATGCATATAGCTTGTGCGTCTGTCTAAACGTGTTTTGCAGAAGATGGTCCTGTGGTTACTTGAACTCCGTTGTGACCTTAGCTGCAGTGTGTTGGAGGAACCCACCTAGTATCTGTGTAGTTTCAGTTTGACACATGTTAGATACCACGGGGGCGTTATAGGCTGTCTGTTCTACATGATAAAACCCAGTTTGTTTCACTGTTTCTTCATCACATGCCTCTCAAGCCTGTGACTGCAATCTGTGGTGTATTCCTTTCTCGAGAAAGTTTTGCTGGCCCCTCATTATATTTCTGAATTATTGTGTCCCCTGCACACAGTGAGATCTTTATGGTCTACTGACCAAGGCCTTTGGGCCATCCCAAAATCCAGATTAAAACTGAAGGTGGCCGGAATTTTCTATCACGGCTCCCACCCTCTGGAACCGTCTTCCTTTAGTTATAAAAAAAAAAAGCCTATTTCGCAAATATTTTAACTTGGTCTAGTTCTGATGGTTCCATTGTTTTTACTTGCCCTCTGTGTAGTTTTTTTTCTTCTATTGTTTGTGATTTATGCTCTTATTTCCTGTTTTTATCTTAATGTTTGTTCAGTACAGCACCTTATAACTTTGGTTTTGAAAGGTGCTTTATAAATCAAATTAACTTCCTTATTTTTTCATCCTCCTTATTAAGGTTGGTTTAAGGTATCCTACACTGTTGATGTTTTTAACGTTTTCCTATCTGCTGTGTACTAGTCAAAAGTACAAATGGAATAAACATTAATACTTTTTTTCTGCTGTGTCAGCTGGAACAATTGGCAACTCTGTCACTTTGGGTATGAGTAACACCCAAATGACATGAGTTGACAGGAAAGCTTGTTGAGATCACAGGAAACATACTTGCACAGAGCAGCAGCATCACAGAGATTTTCCAGTGTTTTAACACATCCTGTGTCTCAGTTAGTCTGATAAAAAGATTCCTAAAGATATCCAGGCAACTGACCCTCAATATCCTAACAGCTACTCCTGCAGTACGCTGCACATCCCAAATGTTCAAAAACATTTGATGTTAAACAAAGGATATCCTTTAGGCGGGAAAGACCACTCCCCTCGCTCAGGTTTAAGTGCTGTATTTATTGATTGGCACCAACACAAGACACTTTTGGTTCATGAATCAACTGCATGTTCCCGTCCTTTCTCAGGACAACGAGCAGGATGTTTGTCTGCTCTCATGATGGTTTCCATTTTGGCTGCACAGTAATATTGTTCTGCTCTAAATTACATTAAATTCACATCGAGTGATTCTATTATCCAACATGTAAATAGATAATGTAAAACTCAATTCAAGTACTACAAGGAAAGTATTTTGAATTCATCTCACAAATGGTATTTATTTTTACACATAAACTAACAGCCCTTTTTATATAAAGTCTGATTAAAGGTCAGAGCTGTCATCAGATACAATACAAGCTCCATGTGTTCTTCATAAGATGTATGAGGTTTTAATTCAGCCAATATGTGTTCTCCACAGTTAAGTGATGCAACATTTTTTTAGCAGCATACACAAACAAGAGCATTTCCAAATGTTCCTCCATCTGCCTCTGCTGGCCTGCTCACAGGTTGGCAGGCAAACATAAACATGCTGGATGGATTAAATGGCGGTGCCAGTAAATCTCAGTGGAGACATCACAGGAGGGGTCGGAAAAGTCATTTGTGGACAATTAGCCACACAATAGGTGACGCACGTTGTGACAAACAGTTATTTCCGGATCTGAATTGGGTAATATCTTTAGAAAGAAGAGACAGGCACAACTGATGTACTTACATT